GAAGGGTCATTTTTACATATGGTGGAAGTGAGCAAATATTGTGTGAGATGCATACACACACAATTGTAATTATACTATGTAATAAATATATATACAGTACTGGGCTAAAGTCTTAAGCAGTCAAAGGAAATGTTTTACGCTATTCATCTTGGTAGTAAGTGTATATTTGCTCAGCACAAAAAAACCCAATTTAACATTTGAACACATGCAGATTAAAAGTAACAAAATAAAATGCAGCAGGATTTTCTTCTCTTCTCCAAAAGTTATTGATTCTTATCGGCAGGCTAAAAGTAGACCAATTTGGTCCCCAAACCTCTCCTCAGGGGCACCCCGATGATTCCACGTATTTGCTAAATTTCACCACCAGCTCACTTAATTAATTAACTGAATTAGTGTAAAAAGTCAATGAGGTATTGATTAGGCATACGGGGTGTGCTGCGGGCCGAGTGAAAATATACATGGGTGTGTCAGACGATCAGAAGTGAATGCATGAGTGACTATTGAAGAAGTTTATATAGAAAGAATATTATAATTTTACATCAACAAGAAGATCATTTAAACATGTTTTCTTTGACTTTTGCACAGCGATGTGTGTGTATGTATATACACACACATATAATGTATGCATGTATGTATGTGTGTATGTATGTATGCATAAGGGGAAACATCTGTTAACACTAGTATTACATCACATAGCTCCTCAGTCAGTTTGTTCAGGTGCTGTGCCCCTATGCTAAAGGTCAAAGGTCAAACACAGAAGGTCAGGTCCTTCTCACTCATACTGCCGTAGTGTTATTAATAAAGCCGGTTTGGGAATGGCGGCCATTAAACCCCCAGACACACCAGACGATCTTCCCAGTTTTTAAGGCCCCAATGCTCAGATACATTTATTAATTTCAGCCAAAGACACAGTGGACAAAAATATGACTCGTTTGCTCATTAGGCTCCCGGTCAGCAGATAATGATCACCTGAAAAAGCCAGGCTGTCCCTGCCTGTGGACCTCAATGAATCCACAGAGAGCGGGACGGGGAATCCAGTGCTCTTCTGACTCATGCCCTCAGCCTGTTTCATTTTTTTTTTGTATAAACTGGACCGGCTGCTGGTGGCCGCGGCCCTAACGGAGGCATGCTGGGATTGGGGGGGGAACGGTGTCCAGCTCCGAAATGATCCAGGTGACAGTGCCAGATTACCACTCTCTCTGACCGCTTTTTAAGCATGAAAAAACTGCACTTCTTTCAGGAGCACCCGAGTTAAAAAAAAAACAGAGAGGCACTAAGGCCTTCCCACTGCAGAAGAAATGGGACACAAAACACTTTCAGAAGCTGCTTCTCTTAATGGAGACACAACACATCTGACAGGCCAGTCTTGTAACTTTAGAAAAAGGTCATTTCTGACACCTTTTGGAGGACTTTCCCTCCTACAGTTTTGTTACCGTCCCATCAAAAGCATAATATTTGCACAAACAATGATAGCAAACAGGCATGTACATAATATTGCATTGTGGGTGAGATGCACTGCTTGACCTTTCGGCTGAACATCCCTGCTCCCAAACTCCAAATGACTTTTTCTGCCCTGTTACATTTTCACTGCGATTTCCCCCAAACTCCCAGTATGAGGCAGGAATCCTATGATGGGAGCCCCTCCCGTACACACAAGCTTGTCGCCCGTATGGATTTTTGTCGTGGGCGTGAATTCCTTGCGATTGACTACGGGTGAGCCTTTCTCCTCCATAGCCCCACTCGCACCCCCCCAGTGGCGCACCCCCCATTTACCGCGGCCCTGGGTTACCCGGACACAAAGAAACCCCCCCCCCATTTGTCAAAAAAGCCCCTCACGTCTGCCTAAAAGAATGACAAAAGGATGAATGATGATTTGCATAAATTAACTTTATTTGCACCCTTTTTTTTAGGCCACAAGCCAGATGCACTGCAGTGAAAATATAATTTTTCTGTGAAGCAGCTTGTCCACCAGAAAACACGACCAGATCCACCACCTCCCCCCCAAAAAAAGGCATTTTTGTGCCAATTAAATTCATATTTAACAGTAAGGAAATTAACCATCATTTTTACTCAGTACTTAAGCACTTGTCATATGAACATTTTTCTCTAAAAAGCATAAGACACTTGGAAACACCTACACATCCCTCTGTTTACTGTATTATCCCTCATTGTCACACTTCACACAGAAAAATGTGTGTTTTACCGCCGATCCGGCGGGCTAAGCAAGCGGACACACACAGCCAGCCGGAACAGTGTTTCCAAAAACAAACGAGATAACGGCAGATTTAACCTAATAACACGGCGTGTTTGTGAGAAGCGGCGCATGGTACTGGCGTTTGAGGGGACCGGGACACAGTTTACATCTCCTGAATATTCCCCAACAAACACCGGCTAACCCTAATTAATCACGGTGCAGTCACACAAGGACAAATTAAATTTAGAGAAGTAAAAGAGATAGAGGCCACAGTGAGCGACAGAAGTAAAAACATGCAGGAAACACGCAGGAAAAAAAGGAGTCGGGAGAAACGCAGCCCGAGATGTCATATGCAAATTGGGGCCAGGACCCCCCTAGTGGCAGAACAAAATTGGCACTGTTTTCCTGAGGTCGGATGCATTTAAATCGGTCCGGGATTCTTGGTTGGTTGCGAAAAACTGCCTTTGTTGACCTATCAGGCACCTGGGACTGTCTGGTTGCCAGGAGCAGGAGCGGCGTCGCTCCTCCAATCAGCTCTCAGCTGCCCTGCATGGGGGTGGCTGATTGGCTGCCAGAAAAGAGAGCGGGGCTGTTGCATGGCTGCAACTCAGAGGAGCGCACATCAGTCCTGCCTAACTCCAGGAGAAAATAAGGGGGGGAACGACCCACCCAAAAGGAAACTCAAAAGAGGGCAAAACAGACGCGGTTGTGTATGTCTACCTGGGGTGAATTTATGAAAAAGAGTAACACTACAGGGAGATGCTGGCATCATTATCCTGTTTGTGCCAATGGAGGCCGAGTTTGCGAAGCGTCTCCACTGCAGCACGGGGAAAAACAAAGGAAGCGGGAAGACGCGTGGACGGCGCCATGGAAACGAGGGCATGCCTTACTGCATGCTGGCTTCACCTTACGCTTGGTTCGCTCCTGTTGGGGGTGACCATTCTGCCCTGAGATACCCCATGGTGGCAATAACGAGGCCTGAAGCTGCCCGGTGCCGTCCCTCCGTCTTTCTGGTGTTTTCCGCAAGAAGCCCAGATCAGGCTGGAGGCTTCACCAGGCACTCGGGGCAAAGCGCGAGATAGACAGCTTCTGCTGTGAGATTTTGGTAGCAAAACTAAGATGACTGTGAGCAGGTGGCTGTACTGTGGCACCTAATCAGCCATATCGCATTCCTCTGCTCCTCTTTAGCCATGATGTAAGATAGGGGCATAGTAATGGCCTTCAGTTTTGAATAGCTACCAAATCTGTATTTTTACATTAATGATCCGATTATTAAAACTGACTGGAAATACCATTACAAGAAAATCAGACTCTACTGATTAAATTCGATGTCCCTTCAAGAACAAGTGCTGGACATGGAACACTGAAAAAGTCAGCAAGAAATTAAATGGAAATATTTCTAAAACATCCCAGTGTGGAGGATTTCATATGTAACTTATTCACATAATGAAATGACCACTAAACCAAATGACCCTCAGAGCACTCCATTTTAAAAGATTTTTATTTATTATTATTATTACTATTGTTGTTGTTGTCGTTGTTGCTTAAAACAAATATTCTTCTGAAAATCATTGCTTATCAACAGCGTTTTTTGTAAATAGTTCCCCGAAAACAAAAAGGTTATACTGAGACCACAGTGTTCTAGATGGCCTGCAATCCGATTGGTAGATTTTCTAAAATAGACCTCTTGCCTGAAATAATTTAACATTTTTAATAAGATAATTAAATGAATGCTAATTTTAATTAATGTGGAATTGACAAATGTGATTTGAAATTCACAAAGACTTTCATAAAAAATAAACATCTATCATCTTCTAAATACGGCGTTGAAAATCGGTCATATTTCTACAAGACATCTTATTATAGTGGGGCCTATTGGTAATATTTTGCACCATTTGTACTCATTGCGTACTTTCATTACCTAAAAAGGCTGCGATCAGCAATGACCCTGTTGCACAGACTGATGCAATCATCTGACGAGACGGGCAAACTTAGAGGAAAAAAGGGGATGCCATTCATATATGCACTGATATTTAGGCGACGCCGCTCCTCCTGTTGTGCGTTCAGCACAACAATGTGCGCATTTGGTATGTGTGTCGTTAATCCACTGCCCGATCAACTTAATAATAACAAAATGATTAGTGTTTCCAGGTTCACAGACACTGAGAGCCCGTTGCCCGCCACAGACAGACTGTCCTGTTCATCCTTGGGAGACGCGCCTGTCGCCTGCTCTGTTTGTAGGCGGAGCTAAGAAGTGGCCTGGCTCAACTTCCGATTTCATTGGCTATCAATGACATCATTGCAGAGAGGACATGCGACGTCACACAGACTGGCGTCATCCTTGAAACTTCAACTAATTTATACAAAGGAGAAAAAGAAGTTGGCGGGGCCACTCTGAAAAACATGTCTCGCGCTTTATATCGCCAGTCTAGTAAGGCAGGGCTTGCATATAGACCCCTGCTTCTCCGGCAATGTGAAAATATATACATATACGAGACGAATAACACGGACGCTGTCCAGCTTCAGCCGTGCTGAAGAGGGTTACCCGCTCAATAAACTGTAGAAATCATAATATACCTGGGACACAGCGAGATCACCCCTACATTTTACGACGGTCGTACACGAGCATTAAAATACAGAAGTAATAAGTCTTGCAGGGGAAAGCTCATCAGTCGCTGAATAGAGCTCATTGTTTATACGCGAAGGTTACAATACATTTGCATTGTGAAATAAAAAATAAATAAATGACAATGTTCGGGTAAATGAGTTATCGCTTTCTCATGCATATTTAAAAATCTAAACATACCTCAATTATCCGTCTTATGGGAGTGCCATAAAGTTATTTACCAAAAAAATAATAATCCACAGTTCATTCTTTCTTCTTTTTCAATTTTGTAATTCCAAAATTGTGAGGAAGTTCCCAAACTCCCAAAGCCATGCTTTCCAAACAACGTGTGCTGAGTCCAAGAAACTTGTTTTTCCTCCGTCGTACGAAGTTGACCTAAAAATAAACCAAGTTACGGTAAATAGAAATGCGATTCCATTAAAGGATTATCGATAAGTGATTCTGCTGCTGGGCCACATTTAAAACATTACATTACAGAATCTGCAACGGATCTAAATTATACATATATTAAAAATAACTATGCTTTTAACACAGAAACGGGAAACGGGGAGCAAATGTTTATGGGGGTGTGCAATTTATTGTGGACTAAAGTACATGCCCAGTCACGTTCACTTTTGAGTGTGTATATGTGTGTTGTTGTTTTTTTTTTTCAAATCCATGAAATCCAGCCCCTCCTTATCAACATTCGTTGTTGTTGATATTATTATTGTAATTATTATTATTAGACATATTGTTATTGTTGCACAATACGTTGTAATTAAGGTTATGAGCTAATGCCATTTTTTAATTATTCATGTTTTAAAAGTAAAATAACAACGAAAACGTTGTAAGCAGTAGTTTTTAAAACATAGGTTTACCTTTTCAATATGTATGAAGTCCAAACGTACGACTCAAAGTATGAACTTCTAATTAACTGCAAACGAAAATACTTCAGTTCTTCGAATCTTAACGACTGGTGTAAACAAATGCCGCCTCTAAGGCACAGAACACACACTTAAATGTACCATATCAGGATAAGAAAAACATTGATACAGCTCTTATAAAATCTTCGTTTTATTCTACCTGTTGCTGGTCCTCTTTGCTAAACAGACTGTGATTTGTTGTTCTGATTTCCTTTTCTTATCTGTTATTTTGGGGTGTATCGCTTTAACCATGATGTCCCCCATGCCAGTGGTTCAGTGAGAACAAAATGTTACTAGTTAAACTACGCCAGGTGGAAAACTCGAGCGATAAAATACTGATACATATTTTAATTTCTTCACAGTCTTTTGTTGAATTTGGATAAAAATATTCCCAATATCTTTTGGTAAAAGATCGTGCACGTTGTTTCGCTTGCATATCCATCTCTCTTGAATATTTTAAGCCAGCGAACTTTTTCTAAGTATTTGAGATGGCGTAGAAAATAAAATCTTACCATCCAGACGCTCCGCACGCTTGCATGATGCCGGACAGGAGCGGGGTTGCTGTCCGTCCGCTGTACCCCGAGGCTCCCCGGTGAACAAAGGAGTGCTCCTCTCTTCTTTGTGCTCAACTTTGTGTGCAGACGCACCAACTTGGGAACTTTTTTTTCTTCCCCTCACCACCGCCCCCCCACCCCCAACTACCACACGGTCTCGCACTTTTCAGAGCACAAAGTCGAAAGAAATGAGCCCAAACTTGTAGTCTGATGGATATCTGCAAGGCCCCACAATGGCAGTGTTTTTTGCTATATCTTTGTTTACCGGCATATTTGAGTGGCTGTAAGGTCCCTTTGTCTACACGTGTGGGGCGGGGGGG